GGAGTCACAGTCGCAATTTTGTTTAGCGACTATGACTCCACTAAAAATGTCACGACTCTGACTCCGCAGCGCTGCTTACAATCCTTATTTTTTAATAACTCTAGAGATTGCTCTAACCCATATAATTATGGTTTTATAAATATGGAAAAACTTCTAATATCTTGAGTCTTACAACTCTTTGACAGTCTCATTCCTATTCTCTTTTCTGGTGGCTTTTAATTTATTATAACAGATTTTAGGTTTTATTGTGCAAAGTTTAACTATTTATTTAAATTTATTGTTGAGATACCTATAGTTGAAATAATAATGGTTCACCATTTTAGTGATAATATGGATACACAACAAAGCAACTTTGAAATAGTATCTTGATAATGGTTTGGTGGGTATTTCTAAATTACGGAACCCAATAGATTTTTTCTTGAGAAAATAGCACCATCAGGACTTGCTGGTCTAAAGAAAATGTCTTGCTTATTTATTTTCATTCAAAAATTGGTCTACTAAAAAAAAATAGATTCATACATTATCTCTCTAATACTTGATCAAAGTAAGCACTCAAAATTTTCTAAAATTTTAAAAACTTAAATTTTATATATATATATATATATATATATATATATATATATATATATATATATATATATATATATATATATATATATATATATATATATATATATATATATATAACCCTCGGTTTAAAGAGGGTTGTATAACCACAACTAAAAGTAGCCTCCTTGACTGTGGTGGCCTTCATATCCTTGGAGAGGTGAATTTAAATAATAAAAAATAGATCAGACCTTAAAATCCTTATTATTCCACTAGAACTATCATAAGATCCTCCTGAAATAAAATTATTTATTTAAAATTATAATTAATATAAATTTTGTTAATATAAATTTTATTAACTTGCATTGACTTTTGTTAATATAAATTTTACTAACTTGCATTGCAGGTGTTACAAATAATAAGGGTTATTTTATGGGCAACAAATTCTAACAATGTTTATTTTATCATAGCTGCTATATTTTTAAAGCTTCCTCGAATATGTAGCCTTTTGAAACCAATGTACCAAGTTATTACTCCCTCTGATTGAATGAGGAATGACTCCCTATTTTAATGCCATAAATATATGGTGCCACTGCTTTCCCTTCAAAATGTAAAATCAAGGATGATTGACAAAGGTGACTTTAGTTTAACTAGAGACTTGCAGCTATAAAACAACTGTTTTGACTTTATTAGCTTTAAGAATAGTAGATTGATGTGGAGTATTGGTGTATATAATTGTATAATATAAAACGACAGTTGTGACTTGATTAGCTCTAAAAATAGTATATTGATGTGGAGTATTGGTGTATATGATTGTATGATATAATTGCCATATGTAATCCATTTTTTAAATTTTTATAGAAATTTATTATTTTCAATTTTATTTTTTGGAATAATATCAAATATTCCAGTAAGAGTATATGCAATACTCGTTTTTTTATAACATACTTTATTCAAATAAAATAGGTTATAAAATGGAACAAAAAAATGATAAATCAGGCTTGGTTGGAAAGCGGGAGCGATCGCTTTCGAATACTGACCACGTAAATTATATTTAGTTACGAAAAACTGGCCAAGTTTTTCAGTCGTTTTGAGGACATTTAAATTTATATAAGAAACAAAAAATTTTTGTTTTACGGACATACATGGAAACATAAAAAACTTGAATGTTCACGAAATATTTTTGAAAGAATCAAAAGAACATTCGCTAACACTAAAAACCCGCCAAATTAACGCACAAACTAATTCTATTGGTTCAAAAAATACGCTGACTAAGCAAAATAAAGTTCTCACGTAATGTGTTGAAATGTTTTATAAATTGTATTATTCACGGTTTGTTACGTTTTGAGATTCCTAGCATAAATTCTTTTAAGAATATATATTATTTGTTTACAAAAATTAATTTTTTAAATATATATTAATTAAATTGTCAAAATTTAAAAGTTTATGATAAATTATAGATTTTATTAGTATATTCTTATTTTTTATTTAAAAAGTATGTATTCTTTATGTAAATGTAATTTTGAGTATGTTTTTTATCGTAATGTATCTTTTAAAGCAATTTTTATTGTTTAAACAAAGACTTACAAAAATATTTGCGTTTTCAATGAAGTTATGAATGGTCAAAGTTAATAAAACTAATTATGTAACAAAAATATAAGAAGTTTCTGGTTACTAAACACAAACAGTGCATACAAAGTAACTCGCGGATGAACAAGCACCGCGCCTGAGGTCATGACAGAACACAAATATATATAGCAAATAATTAGATATAAAGAAAAGTTTCTAGATATTGGTTTACTAACTCTAATTATTTTCGCTTAAGTTGCCATTCTTAAAACTCATTATACTTTTTTCTGCTTTAAATACTAATTAAAATTAAAAAGCCCACTCACTAAACATCATCAGCGATATTGTGAAGCAGTTTCACTTCCTCGTCCTAAATTATTTTTAACCTTTTTAGTTGATTTCTATCTTGTTAATTTAATTTCTATAGTAATTCAATGATTTAATTATTTCACTTGTTTATCTTACTAAGAAGAATTCCTTCGAATATGTTAAACTTTTTAAACTACGCGAAACATAAAATAGGTATTAAAAAAATTAACTTTATATTTATAAAATAATTTAGCTTGAATAAAACTAAAACTTGCAAACTTTGTCAAATAAAGAATATTTGTTTCTTTTTTAAATAATCGTAAGTTGTTACTTTATATAAAAAACATCACCTAATTTTATAAAAAAAAATTAAAAAAAAGCGATGTTTCGAAAATATTTGTTCTAAACGTAATTTAAGTTTTTTCACATTTAAAGATATTTTATTTGCCTAATTTTTTTTTTGTAATTGTCTCTCATCGGTCCAATTAATCTTTTGCGCTTTCTTTTTTTTGCTTTTTAAAATGTTCTCAAAACAACTAAAAAATCTGGCCAGCTTTTCGCAACTAAATATTATTTACGTGGTCAGCAATCGAGAGCGATCGCTCCCGCTTCCCGACCAAGCCTGATAAATCCTTGTGCTGTGAACTGTTCTTTTATCTAAATATCATTTTTCTAATTGTGCAAGAGAATTCTTTATTTGAAAATAACTTAAAACAGATTCCATTTACTTTGGCTTTGCAAAAGGTACATTAACACCCAAAATTTGTCCATTATTTACTTGTTTTAGGCTTTTTTGACATACTCTTTTAACAGTTTCACCAATACCATTACAGGGGGACTTACAGGGGGACTGCAAATAGTATTTGTTTAGCATTTAAATGTCTTTACTGTGATGACAAAAATTAACAAAGTATTTAAAGTTTTTAGTTTGTGTTGCGCAGCATTAGAAAAATACTTTACACATGATACATCAGCTGGGTTTTCTTTGATACTTCTAATTATATCTCCTTGAATCTTGTTTATAAACACTGTGTCATCTTTTGAAAGGTAACAAAAAACTTTTTGTCTGAGGAGTTTCTTGTTAAAAATAAATTATAATTATAAAAAGTGAACATTGACTTTTGCTCCAGTGGTAACACTGAACCTCATCCTGGACAACAAATTGATAATTTTCAGCAAAATCTCCTGAATTTAAGCATTCGTTTTGGTTAAGTTTTTTTTTTTTTTTTCAGTTTTTCAAGTACCTACATGTTTTTTTGCAGTGTATGTGTGCTAATGTGTGCTAAGGTTTTTAATGCAAATACATAAAATCTTCATAAATTCTTTTACATCTCATTCTATCAATGAGAAATTTAATTAGTATGTGTGCGTATATATACAAATAGTATTGCACACTTAGTTAAGCAATGGGACGTCTTACTAAATATCTTATCACAATGCTTTCACAAATAATTTGTACTTAGAATTCTAAAACTTGTGATGTCACCCAAACTTTGCGCTCTCTTAAATATTCCAAAATAATTTATCAAAAAGATTGCCTTTTATATTTATATCCTGTCTCTTGCTCTTTGTATAGAACAAGAAAGAATTACAGATCGTTTGTGATATATTTTTATGATATTACAGATCGTTTGTGATTTTTATGATAGGTGCAATAACTATACATATATCAACTATTTGTTACTATTCTTTATATATATCAACTATTTGTTTTTTTATATATATCAACTATTGTTGATTTTCTTTTTCAACTTTGCAGTTGGGTCTTTTTTTCATTTAATACTGGTTAAATTAGCAGTTGTCTTCTTTATTGAATTCCGCAATTTGTACTCATCAAGAACTCTTGCATTTTCTACAGCAATAGTTTTAATCTGCTATCTTTGAAATGCAATGTGTCTAGCTTCGCTTTGGTTTTCTACTTTATAAGTACCATGATCTAGTAATTACTTTCCTTAATGCACTTGCTTTCACAATATTAAAAAAAACTCAATCATTTTAGCCTTAAATTTAGTTTTTCTGTTTTGTTTTTAAGCTTTAAATTTTTTAAGTGGACAAGTACTCTTGCCTTTTTCATATTCTTAATCTGCAGATTGACTAAATACATGATTGTAGTATGTTAATTTTGGTGTTGAGGCTGATTCAACAATCAACCTTTAATTTTTACTTGTTGGTGGTAAAGTTGTTTACTTTCAGTTAATAATCACTGATTGCTTGTAATATCAAAACGTTCATCTGAAGCATAATTTTTTTCACCTCTTTACACATTCATCATAAATCTTTGTTTATATTACTTTATCTGAAACACATGGAAAATTTAAATTATTTTTCCGTCGCACCCTAACATAAGTTTTTTTTTCTTTTTTCGCTTTTTTCTACCTTAGATTACTACTTTGTGGGACGAAACGATTTGAAACGATTTGAAACGATTGTTTAGTAATTTGAAGCAGGAGTTTCATTCTGCGTTTTACTTTTAGTAATGATTCTTCTAAAGACATATATCTTCTTTTTCTGTGTGACTGCTGAAGTCAAACCAGATTTTTTGGCCAGATATCCTTATTCTTAGGCCAGATAACCTTATTACAATAGGATCATCTTTTTTTCATTTCATCATAAAGTACTATTTTAAACAACACAAAAAATAACTTTACTTGCTTGACAGCAGCCCTAATATAAACAGTTATACAGGTATTAGATTCTGAAGAGTTGTAAAAAACTGATGGAAGTTGGAGAAAGGTTACAAGATATTCAGAAAATAAGAGTAATAAAGCAATTACAGTTAAAGCAGTCATTTTAGATTCCATATATTAGTTTTAAGGTGATCTTCTTTTGTATCAGGAAAAATTAGGACTTATTTTGATGTTAGGACTTTTAGCACTTGTTTTATTAGGCAAAAGTTCATTCATACAGGAAATCTTTTTATTTAATAAAAATTTATAATTCTGTATGAAATCAATTTTATAAGATAAAAGTTCATTCATACAGGAAATCTTTTTCTAATAAAAAAAAAAAGTTTTAATATGTATTTAAATGCACCATTGGTTTCTTAAGCAAATATATTTTATTTTAAATATGTAATTTTAAATCTGTTTACCAATGTTTTATTTAAATAATGTTCTATTATCATTTTACTTTGTACGTGTCTTACTCCCCACCTAAACTTTACTTTTATATTAAACTTAACTTTAAATATTAAACTTTTAGTAAAATATTTGATAACATTTTACTTCGGACTAGTATAAATAATTTCAATGTGAAAGATTTTGGCATAGTATTAGAAACCAATCAAATTTTTAAGTGATATAGATAAATAATTTTATTTAAAATTAATAAAAATTAATATTATAATTTAATGTTGCTTTTTTCAGCTTTTTATTGATAAGGATACGGTTATGAACGCTGTTTCAGCATCTCATGATTCGCACCTTTTTAAAATTGATTGTAAAGTACGTTTTTTCATTTTAATATTTATTAATTTAAAAAATTTTTTGTTCTTTGTAATTTTTTATTGCTTCTAATTCATCCAGGAAGATGATATTGTCACTCGCATAAATGCAAACATTCGAAACCTTATTGAGGGTCTTCATGCAGACGAAATCAAAAGAAATCGTTTACGCGTGTGTGAAATTAATTATCTTCTTGATCATTTTCGAGATGAAATTGAATCTTTTGATGAAACAAACGAGTTTTAATTACATGTAATGTAATAATGGGTTTTAACCTTGTAAATTTATTGTTAGATATAAAATTATAATATATATTTGTAACAAATATGATGTATTTGTATTATATAGAAGGTATAAATGTAAATTTATTTAAAAGTTCCTATTTTATGGTTGTTATAAATTCATATGTTGAATAATTTTTTAATTTTTTAATTTAGTTTTAAATTATTGATTTGATAAAGCATTTTAGCCTATTTTATGACCTAAAAATTCCCATTGTCACTTTGACTTTCTGAAGGATTACTTGGTCATTCCGACATCATCTCTTACGTATAAAGCAAGTTTTTTTTTAGCTTAAAAGAGTTTGCTACATATTCAAACCGTAAGGTTATTAAAATCAGTAGTTGTTATTACATAATTGTAATCAATAACAATAGGATAGCTTGGGTATGGAATAAATCATTTACTTAATTTTTGTTTTAAATTTTTACCTTATGAATAAAAATCAAACTCTTTTGTAAAAAATGCATATTGGTGCGATTCTTATAACCTTAAAAGGTGATAGAAATTATTTGTCAAAAAAAATTATTTTAAAATTACACACGACGTGAATGCCTTTTTCGCTGAAATTCTATTCCAAAGGTTTCATTTGCATTTTTTTAATACAGCGTATATATATGTAAAGCGTATTTCAATTTAGCCAGGCTCAGGTTATATTAAAGCTTTTATAAAAACTTTGATTTGAACAGAAAGCAAAAGAGAAAGTTAAACAGCAGGAATATGACAAAAACTTAAACTGTATGATGTATGAGTCAGGAAAAGATGCAGAGGGGAGAGATTTCAAATCACCGATCCTCGAGCAATAAAGCTAAAGAAAAAAGTGATAATACCTCGTTTAAGCAGCAACCATGATGGAATCATGAATAAAAAAAATATCTAGTCCGATAAAAATGGTCAACCTAAGCATAGATATAAAACTCCGAACATTTTAATTTTTTTAACTTAATTTTAATACAAAAAATAAGAAATTATAATAAAAAAGATCTTATATAAAATATAAAAAGACAAAAGATCAGACAAAACGGATTTTTCTAGCAGAAAAAGTACAGTCATTTTAGGTTATTACCTGTAAAGTGAAATTCTAAATAAACTGAAATTTGGCACATGCTCTCGTAATATCACATAGATACACTAAAAATACAACCCCTATTGATAGCTCTTGAGGAAAATTAGTTATTGACATTTTTCGATAATGTTGATTTTTTTTTTAATGTTTTAACGTTAAGGTTTATACTAATATCACATTAATTTTTTTTTTATGTTTTGACGTTAAGGTTTATACTAATATCACATTAATTTTTTTTTTGTCAAAAATTAAATCAAAAAAGATTTTGATTTAAAATTTAAAAATAAAAATTAATAATAAAATTATGTCAAAAATTGTCGCTTTCGTCACTTTTATCTTCGTCCTCGCTCAACTGTGTCACTTGTTCCTAAAAAAGAGTAGCCGTAGCACAGTGGTTAACAAGTGAATTTCCTTTCAAATGCTCATCCGCGGTGCTCTAGTACTACAGTGCTATAACAAAGTGTTGTAATACTGTACTAGAGTGGTACAATACTCTGTATTATATTGCTATATTACCGTAATAATGACATTTTTTCGGTGCCCCAAGAAGATTTTTTTCTAATTTTTTATTTTTTTATTTAGGTGCCCCAAGAAGACTTAACGGCTTGTCATCCGCGCAAAAGGTTTTTTCTGTTTAAAAGCACCGCGGAAGTGCTTTTAACCAGAAAGTTCACGTCTCCTTCCATACCGTGAAGCAAAACTTGTTTCGAACCTGGATCTCCTGCTTATAAAGCAAGCGTTCTAATTACTGTGCCACGGCCACACAAAGATTTAACGGTCTTGTTACAGAGCACCGCGGAAGAGCATTTAACTAAGAAGTTCACACCTCTTTCCTTACCGATAACGCAAAATAAACACAGAGCTTACCTCAAACTCTAGATATCTTCCTTCTAACGTAAGCACTTTACCACTGCGCTACGGTCGCTAAACATGGGTACATTCCCTTGACATTCCCTACATGCTTCTGAATAGCCATCCGTGTTTGTGACAACTGCATAAATTTGTCCCACATTACTTTTTAGAACAATGTTTTTATTTACATCTTATGACTTGAAGCAGGTTGTAAGGTGGAATATCTTAACCTGTTATTAATGGTAACAAGATCCCTTCCTTTGACTGCTATTCCCAACCACTGCCATTCTCTGAAATGGATCATCTAATACCTTTAAAACGACAACCTAAAATAACAAAAGAAACCCATAATTGAACTAGAAATAAGTGTCTAGAGCGAGTTAGTTTAATATAATAGCTTACCCAAAAATGCATTCGTAATCCATGGCTCCGATGGAGACAACTTAACTGGCTCAATCCGTTGCATGTCAATTCAAAACATTTGTTGTATCTAAAATAAATAATTTTTCAGTTTTAGTTTAAAATATGCAATTAAATACATTTGCATGCATTTGTGAAGAGAAAGGTATACGTTAGGGTACGATTTTGATTTCCGTCGCACATGATTACAAATGCAAATATTTTTTTCTTCTACCCAAACGTCCATAAATGCTGCCGATATCTGCTGCAACAATTTACATTTTAACAAAAGGTACATAAAGTACTTTTTTTTTTGTCAAAGTAAGCGAATGTTGTATCAGATTTACTCATAGCATGGAAAAACATATGTCGTTCTTTATATTGTTCACCGTTGGACTTAATGCCTTCATGATTCTTCATGCTTTTTTACCTTAAAGGTATAATTTTCTACCTTTTAAGGTAGAAAATTATACCTTTATCAAAAAAAGTATTTTAAGTAAAAATATCTTTGTCCGTTTATCAAAGTAGCTTGATAAGTCGGCTTTTGTTTGTTTTGTTTGCCATAATTATTTGATTAGAAACCTAAATATTATTTTCTTCCTTAATCTCTTAATGTCTCAAAGGTAGAGCATTTAAGCCATTCAGTATTATGGTATAAGAAGAAGTAAAATACTAAAGCTAAATAAAAAAGACATGGCAACTTGAGTATAAAGTGGCAAAAAAAAATAAAAAAAACATTCTAATATTTAAAAGAACTGTAGCCAATACTAAAATAAATGATAATAAATGATAATGCTCAAAAATAAAATAATAATGCAGAAAAGCCAGTTATATGTTCTGGATCCAACTCAAATAGCTTGAAATTTTTATATACCAATGCCACATCATTTGAAAAAAATAAAGTTAAAGGAAGTTATAGCTAAAATTAAAATAAGTTTTCCAGATATAATTTTCATTACATGGTAGAAGATACTTCAACGACAATCATACCTGGGTATAACCTTTATCGCAGAAACCATATAAATAGCAAAGGTGGGGGAGTCTGTATTTATGTAAATGACTTAATTGGCTCGTTTGAAGTCAATAATGAAGCCTATAACATTAAAAATATTAAGCAGATATGGTGTACAAATAAAATGAGCGATGAATTTATATTATTTGGATGTATTTATAAACCAGGTAGTAATGATTTTTTTTGTTGTTGTTTATTTGCATTCACTCCCAACAAGGCTGCAAGCAACCACTATCAAGTTGGGAGTTACTAGGAAAAAAAAGAACAGAGTTATAGAGCAAGGAAACGGTTGACAGAAGACTTGAAAAGTTGAAGGTTGTATGAGTCAGGAAAACATGAAGATGGGAGAGAGTTCCAAAGGATTGAAGTGCGTGGAAAAAAACTAGATGAATAAAAGTTTTTAGAACATGCAGGGACAGATACAGTAAACGAATGAGACTTAGCTGAATGACGAGTAAAACGAGAATGAATTTTAGTTGATAGAACTAGAGATAATAACTCCTTTGAGCAGTGACCATGATAATATTTGTAGAAAAGAGAAAGAGATGCAACTTTACGACGATGGAAAAGAGGTTCAAGCTTAGCAGATAGTCTAGGTCCAACAACATTTACAATGCGTTTTTGGACCTTGTCAAGAAGAGAAAGTTAATTGTTAAAAGAACCAGCCCAAATATGACAACAGTATTCCATACAGGGACGAATAAGAGATTTGTAGAGGTAGAGAATGGAATCAGAAGTAAGGAAATGGCAAGCACGATAAAGAGAAGCAACCTTAGCAGAAGCTAATTTAGCAATCGATTGAATATATGGTTTCCATGAAAGGTCAGTAGTAAGCGATAATCCAAGAAGACGTAAAGAGAACGACTCAGTAAGAGGATTGCCATTTATTAATATAGGAATGTTGACCATATTACGGTAGTTGTTTGCAGTAAGCAACTGGGTTTTGTTAGAGTTGAAATTCACATTCCACTGTGAACCCCAATCTATTACTGAAGTGAGATCGGATTCAAGATCAGCTGCTTGTTCTAGGCGATTGAAAAGAGAAGACTTTTTGTCAAGACAGGAGTATAAAGTTGAGTCATCAGCAAAAAGAGCTACTTTAGATGAAAGGTTGTCAGGAAGATCGTTTATGTAGATAAGAAACAAAACAGGGCCCAGGATGGAACCTTGGGGAACCCTAGAAGTTAATGGAAATAAAGAAGAGTGTTGGCCTTCAGGGATGACTTTAATAAACCGGTTAGAAAGAAATGATTTGATAATCTCAAAAACTTTCCCAGAAACACCATATGAAGTAAGCTTATGGAGAAGACCAGCATGCCAAACTATGTCGAAAGCTTTAGATATGTCAAAAGCAACCGCCCTAGCCTCACCGCCTCCATCTAATGCACGATAAAATCTTTCAGTTACAGCAGTTAGCAAGTCGGCCGTAGAGCGAGACGATCGAAAACCATTTTATTGTCTGACAGTAGTTTATTTGACTCAAGATGAGATGTGAGGAATTTGTTGATCAAAGACTCAAAGACCTTGCTAATAACAGAAAGAAGACTGATCGGACGATAATTGGAGGGGTCAAAATTTTCTCCAGAGTTTTTGAATATTGGAACCACAGATGCCCTTTTCCAACAAGCAGGAAAACAAAACTCAGTCAAACACTTGTTAAATAGTTTAGAGAGAATTGGAGTGATTTGGATGTCTAACAATGGGTCAACCTGTTTGACTGGAATGGAAGGAAGAGAATGTCCATAAGATTCAAGAGTGGAATTAGAAGAAAAGTTCTTTGCAAATAGTTCTGCCTTATCCTTGGGAGAGCTTATAAGATCAGTC